GATTTAAAAATGAGTAGTTCACTTCAACATGTAAACATTGTTTGAACTAACACAATTTGATTATCAAACATTTGTAAAATAGTAATGATAATCGAAAGTAGTCTTCTTTCACTTGATTAATTTAAGAAAGAAAGTCTCAGGATGGGTCAACCTGTATTTCTGGATTCAAATCAATGAAATGACAAGTTCTGTCCCATAAGGTCCTTAAGGTCAAATCCTGACCTTAGGCCTAGTTCACTACAGTAGAATAGTTCAAAATGTCTGCAGTGCCATTTGTGAACTGAGGACCTATACATTAAATTCCCTGATGCTGCTGAGCAAGCCAACTATAAAGTATGGTTATATGAATATGGGCAATTCCCAGGAGTGATTGACTGTATAGATGGATGTCATGTTGCCATCAAGTGTCCATCAACTCCTGATGCTGAGGAGTACAGGAACTGGAAGAACTGGTTTTCCATCAATGTTCAGGGTGTATGCACACCCATTTTGGAATTTTCAAACATTGTTGCTCATTGGAAAGGTGCAACTTATGATTCAAGGATTTTTCTTAACTCCTCGTGTGCTCAGTTTGACAGAGGACAGCATAGTGGACTACTACTTGGTGACAGTGGATATGGTCAGAGTACATATTTATTCACACCATACCTACATCCCACAATAGCTGAGCAACAAAGATACAACAAAGCTCATGTTCGCACAAGAGGGATGGTTGAGAATATGTTTGGAATATGGAAAAATCGATTCCACTGTTTACGGAATACACTTCATTTTGAGCCAAGGAGATGCTGCAAAGTGATTGTTGCTACAGCTGTGCTGCACAACTACCTAAAGCAGCATGATTGTCCAGATCCTCCAGTGGAAGATCAAGATGATGCAGATGTGCCCGTGGCAGTGTCAGGGAATAACCAACGAGGACTTGCACACAGAGCTGCTTTCACATTGCAGCACTTCAGTTAAATAAAAATGTATTTAATCGTGGAGTATATTGATTATGACTTATTTTGACTTTAATGGTGTTTGTTGTGTACAAAATGTAAAAGTATGCAACAAAATTAAACGAGTAATTCAACCAAAGCAGATTTAAAATATAGTTTGTGGTGACAATATTAACAGTCTTACCAAATAAGATAACAGTTTTATTTACACAATTTATTTAATCACATTTTTCAGCATAGCTGTCTCATGCAGCTTTCTTTGAGCAGCTCTTTCTTTTAATTTCATGTCTAATTCAACCTGTAAAATTCTCATGTTCATGTCATGCTCTTCTTTCAGATATTTCATTTTCTGCTCATGAGGGCTAGGGCTAGTTTTTCATGCATAGACATCCTTTTTGGTCTCTGCTGCTCGTGGCAGCATCTTCTCTCTGGCATGCCTCACCAGATGTAGAGGGTGCACAGACACTGTACGCTGGCTCTTCCATCAGGATAAATATAGTTTCCCCTGTTTAAAGCACACTGTTAGAAACACAAACCGGTGTGGTCCTTAGACTGAAATACAAATACAGATAGTGTTCTCCTGCAGATGTGGGCTGCACACCGGTGCAGCAGGTGCTAAATAATTAAAAAATATATTTTAAATAAAAATCCTATTCTGATCCTGCAGCTCATCCATCAATCAGCCAATTGTGTTTCATGTCCAGTCTTATTTTGAAAAACTGTGATAGAGTGAGTCCACGAAAAATGAACTACGAAGTAGCGAGGTCTTTGTTCCTGTGTGGACGGGGCCTCAGAGGGTATGATGGGGGACTGTTGATATGAAAACAATATTTGACATCCCTGAGGGGGTATACATCTGTGACACCTAATATGTTTATTGCTGCTGCACTATGTGGCTGTATCATGTATATGTTATGTATGTCATATCTCATGCCATATTTGCCATATTTGGAACGTACAGTAACCTCTCTTGTGGGGGAGGAGCCTGAGCATGTGTGAGGTTGAAAGGTATGACTATGATATGCTAAGTATGCTCTGTCTGTAACAGGTCTCTCTTGTAAATGAGTCCTTGTGGCCCAATGAGACTAGCCTGTATAAATAAAGGTTGGATGAAAAAAAAACATGTATCACACATGTCATTATATTTAATCTGTGTTACTCACTATCTGTGCAATAATCTGACACACAACCTGTGTAGTTTATGTTAATTATGTGCAATATATATCATGTGCATTTTAGCTTATTACTACCTTGAAATACTTATTTATACAAATTCATCATACTTGCACCATTATAGTCTACCATGTTATTTACTATTTTTCTTTGGACCTTATAAATATTATATTTCTTTTTCACCTTTTGGTACTTTATTTTGTACCATTATTGCATGCTTTAGTATTTCTTGTTTGTTTGTGCTTTTGTTTTTCAGTGAGTCAAATCGATTCTTCTCATCCTGCACATTTCATTGCACTGTTGACCTTGTGTTAACCTGCATATGACAAACAGCATAATACATAATATAGTAAGAAAAAGATTTCCTGCTTTGCAAGTTGAGCTAAAACATTTAAATAAAGGTCAGATTGTTAAATAACGTGAAATAAAAAATCCACTGTCGTTCTAAATCCACATTTTTACTAAAGACAGAACAGTGATTGTGACAAGGTTTGAAGGCTGCATAAATCTTAAGATATTGTAGAATGTCTGGAGATATACTTCAGAGACAACAGCTTTTTATACTTGTCTTTGACCAAAGAACATCCTCTAATGTCAACTGAACATTCAAAAATACATCAGCTAGCTGTCTGTTTTGGTCACCAGTCAGATCGAAGGTATCACTTGCTTTGATGTGGTTTCAAATTCTACAAAGAGCAAAAGAGAAAAGAAGGCTAAGATTAAAGCATAGCAATCTTTCATTTAAAAGTTAATTTTATTGTATGTGAAAGATTAAAAAAGTTCCTTTGCTCTGTTGTTTTTCACTCATTATAAGAGTTCTCTGTGATCCAGTACATTTTAATCAGGAAATCACACGTTGAATGCATTGAAATCTGATCCTTTAAATCTGATGATAGGTTCTCAGACATGTAGGCCATGACAGTCCTAATAAAAAGGCAACTGGATGTTGTTTTCTCATTTTTAACATTTCTCATCTAAGAAGCTTTTTGATTCAAAACTAAAAAGTGTGCCAAAAACACGCATGTCGTAGTTATTTGGGTCGTTTTCTGTTTCCATGTGGATAACAACATTTCTAAAAACAGTGCTGTGTTTACAAGGAAAAACCTTAATTTAGAAAAACAGTTGTCATGCATGACTAGGCCTAGGTTGCAAAATAACAGGAGGATTTGCAGTCAACAAATAATTTAACTATTTTCCTGTTGTCAAGTAAATTTTTCTCTACACACCAAAAGTGCTAAATATACGTCTGCAATGCATGTGAATGTGTTTTGTGAAAACACAACAATTTTCCATTGTTTCAGTGTTACATTCTAGCAAGAATGTCAGTTCAGGAGAAGCCACATGGCATTTTAATAAACTGAATCCCAGAGTGAGAAAATCTGGAAATGACATCCTTGCGTTTTTGTGCGGACATAATAAGACAATTTTTTGAGAACTAGGATGTCATAGACTCACCCCTTGCCTAACCTACAACACCAACCATGACAGACACTTTAACATTATAAACATTAATGACCGATTACATACTTTTGTGCTGCAGATGCATTTTGGGTCATGTGTGCCTCTATGTGGTTGAAAGCATTTCTTTTTTCGATTTTTTTTCCTTGTCCTGTCCGGCATTGTGGCACTCGGAATTAGTCTGAGTGTCAAGGTGAGACCCAACAGATTTACTTTCACAAGCAGAGCATTATGGCTGGCCTTAATGCTCTGCTTGATATATAAATACAATTTTATTAGAATTTGCTTTGGGTTTGTTTCAGATGTTATGGACACGGGGATGAAAAAACAAAGAAGAAAACAAAGCAGAAAAGTGAGAGAAGGGTTAAAAGGGAAAGGAGATAGGAATAGAGGAGAGAGAGAGGGATAAAGAGAACACAAATCAACATCATTGAAGTCTGCCTCTTGACCTGAGGCAAGAAAAACAAAAGATAAAACTGAGACACCACAACAAGAAACAACATATATAATGATACTTATAACATCATTAGAAAGTATTTTATACAGTACATGGTAATACAAGATATATTTAGTGGCCACCACAACCCAACTGAGTGTGTATCTGATAAACACCTGAATCTAAACACCTGTGTGAGCATGTTGTCACTATAAGGTTTCTCCATAAAAGTTCAATAGTGGATGTGGGGACCCACAGACCCATCCCCCCAGGACACGATGGTAGCATAGGGAAGACCAGAGCCACAGACACAGAGCAGCCCCCAAGCCCGGAGCCCAGGGAGTCCACCAACATGAATGACTGCACCCCACCACCACCACCACCCCAAGAGAGAAGCAAAGTGAAGCCCCGGGCAATCCCCAGTAACCACAATGCAGAAACCCCAGGAGGCTGCAGCGACAAGTCCACAGGCCCCGCCGGCAACCCGCCCCTCCAGAGTAGATCTGGCCACAGGGTGAGCCGGCACACACACCACCCAGCCCCAGATGCAGAGTGCTGCCAATGCACCGGTGGCAGGGGGGCCCACCACCGGAGGGGAGCGCGACAGGGGGAAGTAGACCCCACATTAAATGGGGGGCCCAAATTGATCCAAGAGAGGGGTTGAAAGCATTTCTACTAATGGTGCAGTTGATACTAAGATGTTTTTGGAACCAATAAAAATCTTTTAATTTTTTTTTTTTTTTTTTTTTTGTATAAACAAGACCTAGCTCATCAGAATACAGTTGGTTATTCATAGGGATGGACATGCATCATGGATACTTTTATGGTATATGTTGATAATTTAATGTTTTTTATGCTTGTTTGCATGTGTTGGTGCACAGCACTTTGGCCAACGGTGTTGTTTTTAAAGTGCTTTATAAATAAAGTTGTATTGTATTGTATCAAAGTTGTATGAACAGCTCTGTGACCAAAGCTTACCTGTTTGGTTCTTTCAGTCTGGCAGTAGCAGACATGCTTGTGAGTGTGTCCAACGCCTGGGAGACCATCATCATTTACCTCCTGAACAAGAGACAACTGGTGGTGGAGGAGCACTTCATCAGGCAGATGGACAACGTGTTTGATTCTATGATCTGCATCTCGGTTGTTGCATCCATGTGTAGCCTGCTGGCCATTGCTGTGGACAGGTAACCAATGAATGTATTACAGTACATAAACAGTTATTGCCTGCCGCTGAAGGCAAAGGCAAGTGTTTTCTGTCCCTGTCCATGCATGGGTTTATCTGTTAGCTATATCTCATGAACTATGGGATTAATATTAATAAACATCTCAGATAATCACTGGATTTTTAATTCAGTTCAGTTTATTTATATAGCGCCAAATCACAACAAAGATGTCTCAGGGCACTTTACAGAAACATTCACATACATAAAAGCCAATTAGTAAAGTTCTCTAACTAAGGAGGCCAGCAGACAAGTTGAATCTTGGCTTCGTTACAGTCTCCCATCCTGAGCAAGCACAGTGGCAACAGTGGAAAGGAAAAACTCCCTTTTTAACAGGAAGAAACCTCCAGCAGAACCAGGCTCTGGACAAGCGGCCATCTGCTTTGACCAGCTGGTTTGAGAGGACAGGAAGGAGAGACAGACAAGCACAGAATGGTAGGTCCAGGTATAGGTCCAGGTGTATCTGAAAGACACAAAAAACACATGTTAAGGATAGAAAAAAATAATTACAAATGTTGAGCAGAGAATATGGATATGAACATATTTAAATATGAACAATTTTAGAAAAATGTTGCTAAAATTTGGTGTGGTAGTTGCTTAGCATCCTCCCCAACCCATACATTAAGCAGTTCACAACGGGGTTGAGATGGTGTAGACGTAGGGAAGCCAACTTGGAACGAGAAAGTCACAGGTTCAACTCCCTGCCATGCCCACATGCTGTGGCGTCCTTGAGCAAATCACCCAATCCCTAACTGCTTCCCGGGCTCCTACACAGCCGCCCACTGCCCCACCTGGTTGTATCTTAGGTGTGATGTCTTATATGCAGAGAACCAATTTTTTCGTTATTTTACACCTGAAAAGCATATTTTTTTCAACTTTATTGCGGCCCGAACCGCAACGTGGACCCTCAAAAAAGTTACATCAAAATGACTGGCCAGGCTCCAGGAAGTGTGCATTTAATTTTATTGGCATTCGCAGTTACCATGGTGGCATATTTTGCTAACAAAGATGCCAAATTTTCCATAGGAAATGAATTGAAGAAAACTCTTCACAGGAACTTTTCATTCAACCTTTATTTAAACAGATAAATCACAATGAGCCTCAAAGACTTATTAGTGAGACCTGTTTGGACAGACAAAAACAGTGGTTAACTGGACACATGTAGGAGTTGGAGGCAAAAAAAATTCCTATCAGACTTTTTTTTTCCTACCTGAGAAAAAAAAACCCTCTAATATTAAAAAAAACCACCTCGCACAAACAAGCACATATTTACAAAGACAATCTGCAGACGGGGGAGACGAGAGCGGTCAGCAATGTTCATAGATGCTCTCGAGGTCACTGTAAGAGTTCTGATAAGGATGTAATGATCAGTCAATGTCCTCTGGTGAGATCCATAAACATTCTCGAGGTATGTTGAGGAATGGCCAAGAATAACGTCTATGGGAATCCAAGAGGCCTGAAATGATGACACAACGTTTATTCAGCTGGTTTCATCTGGTTATCAGTTGGAAATTCCTCAGGGAGGGAGTGGTGAGCGTCAGATCGCATGTGCTCCAGGCGAATTCAGATAAGATGGCCTTCAAGGCCAGCCAAGGGAGCCAAATTCAGATAAACACACAGTTGTTTTGGGGACAGGCAGAACTTAATGCCATCTACCTTGAGTCTGTGTTGGTCCACTCGGTTCCAAAATGTCCAAATTACATGGCCACACCAAGGGAACGTGACTGAGTAGAATCCCCAAGATCTGATCCATTCTGCCCAAAGCATTTGAGTCTGGGTACTCGAGACACGAACTAAGCCATCATAAAGGCAAGCAGCGTGATTGGGTCCAAATTTGCTGCAGATGACTTCCTTGATTCTACATAAAACCAGTCACTAGCCGATTCCAAAAAGCAGGAACCAGTTATCGTAAATCCAATTAAATATGCGTCCTTAAAATCCACAGATGGCAGCAGAGATAGACACATCATCAAGTCTTTCAGTCAATGAGATATCCAGCTGCGTGCGTGCCAACTGGGCAACTCGGCTCGCCTAAAGCCCGTCTTCTGACCAACTGATCAAAACAAGTCCATAATTATGGTTCAGAAGATATGCAAGAGAGGCTCAGAAGCAGTTTCACAGACAGACAGAGCAGAAAGCGGAGAGGTAGGGGAGAAGCATCCGATCTTGGCAAGAGCAAGTGGTGAAGTGAGTAACGCATGGAGCCATTTTGGTTCAACATGAAAGGAAGGCAGTTCATTGCCTTGCGAAGCATGCATGCATCCTCCATGCAATGCATGGAAGGCACTTAATATTACCTATTATAACCTATTATTATTATTACTTAGTAATAATGATAATTATCATTAATAATAACCAACAATGTAAATAATTATTAACATTAATATTGATAATTGTTAATAATAATTAATATTAGTATAAATTATTAATATGAACATTGTTAAAATAATAGTGATAATTATTAATTTTAATAATTTTATTCAATATTAATAATTATTGATAATAAGTATTCTTATTAATAATTATTAATATGAATATTTATTATTAATGATAATGTTAATATATAGGCAGTCTTGATTCTACTCTCCTGAATGTCAGTTAACTTACTTTGCTTTCAGCTTTAATGTGACCCGAACCACAATGTGTACCCCCACAAAAATTATATCAAAACTACATGTTCAGCCCAGTGATGTGTGTTTTTACGTTTATTGGCAATCGGGGTTACCATGGTGACATTTTTTGATAACAAAGACGCCATGTTTTCCCATAGGAAGTGAATGAGAGAACATTCTTCACACTAACTGCTGTCAAGTCACATGACTAAGAGTGTAGAGACAAAACAGATACTCAGTGTTGGATTTGTTTGAAACTCACATAAAGTAATCACAAGATGTACCTCTAAAACTGATTAACGTTTGGAGCCATTATGATTCAAGATGGCTGCCACAGCATCCTCAGCAAACACATATTTGACTATAAATCAGTTATTTTTTTATATATTGGGTACATTCAAATGAGAAAGATTTTGGATCTAAATTGACCTCAGTGAAAAGCATGTTTTGACATTAGCAACATTTCCAAATAGCCTTGTACGTACTAGAACAAAGTGAAACAGTGCAGCAACAAGGCAAGAAAGCTTAGAAGGGCTGATGTAGTGGAGTAGGCCTGATGTCAAAACTGACCAGATGGACAGAAACTGTCATTTCATTGATTTTAATCCAGAAATACAGTTTGACCCATCCTGAGACTTTCTTTCTTGAATTAATCAAGTGGAAAAGACAATTCTCTATGATCATTACTATTTTACAAATGTTTTGATAATCAAATTGTGTTAGTTCAAACAATGTTTACATGTTGAAGTGAACTACTCATTTTTATTAACTGTGAAACAGTAAATAATGATCCTTAATCCTCATTCAAAGAAGAAATCAGGTTAATATGCATTTCTTGATTTTCTGTCTTCAATGAGCAAAGTTGTAAGTGTGTTAAAGTTCAAGCTTCGGTCAACTAGAAAGTTTACTGAAAAGAAATGTCATGTTTAACTTTTACAGCAAGATACAGGAGAGGTGGCTCCACGAAGTCTGGTTTTGCCATGATATCTTTCTGTCTGTTCTTAAACAATTTGAATCTTTTCCTTGACTTTTAATAACACCTTACATCACAAACCACACCTCTGCTTTGGTCCATCCACCAATCAAAAAGCTCTCAAATGAACCGGAAGTAGAGCCCATTTAAATGTGGCAACTTCCCAGTTCAAGAAGAGTTCAGAGCAGTAGAGTTCAGGAGCTTTGGAATCCAGAATGCAGAGAGTTTGGGAGTTTGTGAATGCAAACGCAGGCATTCATGGATGCTGCTAAACCAATCAAGCTGAACCAGAGACGATTTTGGGAATTATAACTTCTGTTTGGATAACCTCGCACGGCTCTCGAGGTATTTAGCTGTTCTCACTGAGACGCTGAACAGTGGTTGGAAGTGAGACTCCACGCCGGAACTGATCTATCTTCAGAAAAGGTAAAAGTCGACCTTCACCAAAAGTGTACTGTTGGGACAAGCTGATTTCCGAAGGAGCGTGCACGTTCTGGTTAAAACAGACAAATTCCCTCACACATCTCTCTGTAAGATAAATCTCAATTTTCCATCTTTAAACTCTCCTTTCTGCTAGAAAATCAATCCAGATGTTTTCAGTAATGTCTGTGGTGAAGCAACGGAAAATCATGGCCGTATGGTTTTCCTGGTTGTAAAGCTGATTGATTATGTTGTTATTCTCATATTCTGCCAAATTAATGTAAATGTTGATGTTAAACTTTGATTCTGTAAAATAAATGACCGCATTCATTTTGATGGGTCAAAGATAAATAACGTCTCACGTTACATTTCATTAAATTCAATGCACGTTTTATTCAGTCCAGAAAAATGAAGAATCCGTTTTAATTGATGAATATATCGCAGCATCTGTTCATCTACACTGATATGCAAACTCATTTCTTTTTAAAGGTCAGGACTTATTTATCTGTGGTTGTAAATGCAGAGCAATGGTTTGGCTGCCTGTTGGTAGTTGTAATAACCAAGTGTAAAATGTTTGAGGTTTCGTTTATATAATTCAAGACTTGATGAAAACCAATTGATGCAATATTGTTTTGTCATGTCCTGACATGCTAAACCCTAAACTGAAAGATAGTGTGATTACTTTTTATCATGACAGTACTGTGCACTGGAGTCATAATAGGTTTGAACAGCTTGACATAGCCACACAATAATAACAATTTACTGTCATTGCTTCAAAGGTCCCTGCCAGGCAGAGCAGCACAGCTGTGCTAACAGCAGCAGGATACTGCAGTGATTTACAGTTAAATGAACATGTTTGATACTCCAGCTAAATATAGTTCACAAGAAATGCAACAAAATAAATGTAAGATAAAGCAAAATATCATGTCTAAATAAATAAAAGGTTGAATGAAAAATAC